AATTGTAGAGCGAATGGGACTTTTAGTAAAAAAGGATTTATATCCTTCCAGAAATTCTTCCCAAATATTCAAGATACCTTAAATTGCTTTTGCAGGTCATGATAGCGATCATAACTCACGGATAAGGGTACAACCCGATTTCATATTTATATAACCATCGTATGATTTAACCTATTTTTGGGGTCTTGGCCAGTTTTTTCATTTTTTGGCCCTTATTTGGCATCTTTGTTTCTAAGGGGGTAGAGAACCTCTTTGTATAAAATTTGATTTTTTTCAGAGTTGGGCCCATATTGGTCTTGACCACATTCATCAATTTATTTGGCTAAAAAATTGTATTTATGTTACCCTGGTGTAGGGAACCATCACACAGATAATTGCCACATAGGAATTTATTTAAGTAAAATCCCCACATTGGAGTATCCCCAAGTCCACTTTCACATCTAATGTGTGGTCAGAAAAGAAAATTTTGTATTTTATTTAATTTGTAACCCCCAAGAGAATATTGGTTGTGAACGTAGATTTGGGATGTACATCTATATGAAATAAATTGTGGAAACATGAACAAATTACAAATATAAGAAAGTAGCACGGGACCGAATATTTGTTGAATCGTCATTGATTTATACTATGATGAAAAATATGGACTTTATGGGGTCTCCAACATACAATTTAAATTGCAAATAAAATTAATTCCCATCTTACGGTAATGGGTGTAAAATAGTAATTATATTTGACTATTCTAAAATAATTCTGCCCTCAATTATGAGGTGGATAAAACTATTTTTAATTATTTAAATCACGCGAAATGCTATGACATGCTATGTTGTTCTGCTATATTTTTGATTTGGCCTCTATTTGTCATCTTGGATTATAAGGGGTAGAATAAAGTTTTCAATGTAGGTCGATGTTTCGGAGTAGTGCTATAAAAAGGCACTTCCTGATTTTACCATATTTGTAAGGGTTTGGCTAAAAATGTGTATTTGGGGGGAGAATATCTTACACAAAAATTTCAATATATCTACAAATTTTAGAATTTTTTCAATGTAATAGTACCCCCTCAAATCCACCTTTTGGCGGACAAATTTATGAGGACTCTAATGCACAATCTGAGGTGCTAATGGGTTCAAAAAAGTAATTAACTTTGGCTATTCTCAAATCATTCAGCACTCAATTATGAGGTGTACAAAAAACATTAAATTCAAAATTACTGCTCATTTGACTGGAAATGGTGCTACGATTTTTACCATACTCACGGCTTAAATATGGGTATAGGTATTTTAAAACACTTTTAATCGTGAAAATCTGTGAATAATTATGATTGACAAATATGCATAATAGACAAAAACTACAGGCCGGCAACGCGGACCGGGCCAGCTAGTATATATATATATATATATATATATATATATATATATATATATATATATATATATATATATATATATATATATATATATATATATATATATATATATATAAGCGGGCCCAGTCCGCGTTGCCGGTCCGTAGTTTTAGTCTTTAAAGCATAATAATTCACAAATCTTGCACAATTTTTTTATAAATGATGACTCAACTAAATAGAAATAAATACGTCTTTCAAAAAACCTCATCCTATTTTTCAGTAAGAGGTTTTAGTTTAAAAACCTAAATAATAATAAATAATATAGGATATATATTAAAAAGTATACATTGATGTAGACCCATGTAAGATGGTTCACTACCCCAAAAGTAGCATAAACACACATTTTAAGTCAAATCGATTCGAAAATATAATCAAAACCCTCGAAAAAGGTAAAATCAGGAGGTACTTTTATATGAGCCCTACTTCGAAACATTGACATTGAAGTTTCCGCGAAAAGGACTTCTACCAGGAGCTAGATGCCAAATAAGGGCAAAATCAATTGAAAAATGTGACCAAGATCCTGGTAACATTGAATGTTTAGTTCCACGTTTTCTATAGCGCACATATAACGATACCCAGCGATATTCGATATTTTGATAATCCTAGGCACATTTACTCACATAATTGTTTCAAATTTGGTATTTTAGAAGATAGATGATAATCCTAGAAGTATAAAATTGTCTATAGAGGTTCGCGTTTTGGTATTGCCCCATATAACGGCCTGACTCACATTATGGTTTTTTGACTCACTTTATGGTTTATTCAAACGATCTTACTGGAATACGAATTTTAAAGTGAAACACGCTTGAATTCAGGTACTTTTATATAAAAATGTTTCCTTTACCGTAAGGTGGAGGGTATTAAAAGTTCGTTCCCGCCGAACTAAATGTTTTTTACTTGTTGGAAATTCAATATTTGTCGAATGGAATATTGCGATATGTTCAGCTCACGAGCCATTTTTCGGCCACTGCGACGAGGGTTTCTATCAAGTTCTGTTTTCTTCCGTCCACTTCCTTGACGTCGGTCTACGCTGTCAGTATCAGCCAAATATAAAAAATCGCACTATCACGCTTGAATTCCATCACGAAAAACATTTTTTCTGGAAAACTCTCTATGGCAAAATAGCAGCATTCTGAAGTTGGTTGTTGTTGTTTTTTCACGGTTCTTGAGTTATAAGCGTGGTATCTGACAAAACTTTCTTTCATAATACTAAGAAAAATTAAAAATACCCACTTTTACGCCCATTTATTAGTATCTGACAAAACTTTCATTCGTAATACTAAGAAAAATTAAAAATACCCACTTTTACGCCCATTTTAATTAAAATCTTTATATTCGCCAAAATAATGAAGATATATACTTCAATGTTAGTATACGTGGTACTTTTGACTCTCCCTCCAACCCTAAATACCTATTTGGAAAGAGGAACTGGCCACGCATATTTCATTAAATCTATATGTATAAAAATTGAGAACGGCTAGCCGATTTGACTCAAATTTTCTTTCGGCTATTAGTTATGACAGTAGAAAGGTTTTTCGAAAGAAAAATATGAAAAAAAGACTGTAGAAAGATCGCAAATTTGCATATTTTGCATTTTTTACACATGCCGTTATATGGTTGTCATGCTAAAAAATGAATTTTGATTAGAAAATAATCTAGCTCAAAGCATAGAAAACACTCAAGATCCTAAAGAACTTTTATATTGAGTTTGACAAAACTAAATACTTTACAACATGGTCTTCTAAAAAATACGTAAATGTTGCTAAGATAATAGTATAGTATAGTAATAGTGGTTTGAAAATGCAATTAAGTACGATAATATAACGAATATAAAGAGGTACTGGTGCATAGGAAACAAATCATAAATTGGTCTTTTGCTGCAGTTTTTTGACAAAAGATTTATAACCTCGAAAATACTTTTAAAACCTTCACAATACCTAAAATCGGGTGTATGGGTGGAACCAGTATTAAAGGACTAGATTTAACTGTACTGAAATCATCAAATTAGAGCATAATTGGTCGAAGAATATTAGGAGATAATATTATAAGAGAGCTATATTTAAATGAGCACAAATATATAATTTTTGAAGCATGAATAATCCCAAGAATAACATATAGGCCTTTAAAAAGTTTCAAAGACCTATATAGAATATGGAGACTTCTATCGTATTTGCAAATGTACATAATTAATTCGATAACAATTTCTGTTCTTTTACATACTTTTTGGGGTCCCTAACACTTATAAACCTATGTTACCTTATTTTTGAACTGTGCACAGCACGCACTGTATATAAATGTCAACTAACATAAAATCGCTAATTTTATAGTTAATGCACTGTCGGCTTCAAAATGCCAACATTTAAAAAACATGCATCACCTCTTCCGCCTCTATATGACGTTGTTCAACCAAAAAACCTCTTACCTTTTTTAAAACAATTAGAGGATATATATCAAATATATATCACACCAAAATGTGTTTTAATTAAATAACGGTTTTGGACCCTGAGTCTCTTTGGACGAAATTCATTTCAGAACCTTAAAATTCAGGAGTCGACCTAGCAGCATTCTTCCTTTTACTTGTTTGTCTGCCTTACCAGATGGTGAACACGATAACTCTCAAAGATACTATCCGATTTGCTCCAAACTTGCTACTTAGATCCATTTCCCAGATGGATAATATCAGTCTTCTTCTGGTACCGTTCCCACAAAAGGTCAACATTTTGTAAGAAAATAATTTACATGTTAGAAAATAATAAAATAATAATCCGATTCTTTTAAAAAAGTCCTCAAGGGTCTACATTTCAAATAATTATGTGTATGCATCATATCTTGGGTAATAAGTCAGCGATTTTCTTCAAACTTCGTGTATCTTATTTCATAAAATATATATCTAATGTGAATATGAGATTTAGGACTAACGCCTTCTAATTATCCGTCCTAAAAAGGGTCCAAATTGTAAATAAACATATCTCTCAAAACATGTGAAACTATTCAGCGATTTCCTTCAAAATTCTAATAAAATATTTAACACTTCCTTCCAGCAAAATAATGGAAATATTTTAAAAGTGGGCAAACTATGGAATTGTGAAACTCAGTTTCCACATTTTTTACCATCATTATCTTGCTGTTATAAAAAGTATATATAGAAATCTGTGTCTTGAAAACTGGAATCGTTAGCTCACAAAAATTATAACTAAAAAAATTCTTTGTTTACATTGTTAAGTCTTATAGTTATCAATAGAATGTTTACATGGTGTATTCAGTAGTATAAATTATCGACTGGCAATTAATTGTTTTAACTATTAATAGATAGACAATTGTTTTTATATCTATAATCGAATAGGGGCAGAGATATTATAGTGAAAATAAAGTTGATAAGCACAAAAAACCAACATTTTGCATTAAAAAAAATAACCTTCACTATTGTTTACTGCTCACATATTCACCTTAATATAGATATCCCCATTCAAACTTCATCTTGAAGAGTACGATTTCCAAAACCATTTTCTGGTAATAGCCACAATTGTTGCTATGTTTCACCCATCAATAACATTTCATCATCTTCGCTAAAATATTTATACCGACTATAATATTTCAGTAAACTCAACCAACGTGCGGTCTAATATTTGGCATGACGGTCCCATTAATTGCTACACTTGCGATAGTGAAGATGAATGTGCGCTTGGCAACGGTGTCATCCAAAAATGTGAGAATAATGATGACCAAACATGTGTAATAGTTTTCAGTGAAAAAGGGATAGTAAATCAGAGAGGATGTAGCGATAAAATTATTTCCTCTCAAAACGGCAGCTACTGCAGCAAAAACCCAGACAGATGCCCTACTTGTTCATCTTCTGCCTGTAATGAGGCAACATCTATGGACGGATTCATAGAGTGTGTGGCTTGCGACTCAAGTTTGGACAAGAACTGTGCATTAAACCCTGCCGATATCATTGCAAGAACCTTATGTTTTGGAAATTGCATGACAGCTCTTTATCCTACAAGTAAGACTGACAACCCCAGCTACAGTTTGGTGAGGTCCTGCTTAAATGATCGCGACATTGATGATCAAAAAGCATGCTTAAATGGAAATGATCGTATGTGTCATACATGTAATCAACCTCATTGTAACGTCAATATTATGCCCGAAGTAAGGCATTCGTGTTACCGCTGTTCCGGCGATGATTGTGAGGATCCCGTTCGTGAAGAGTGTCCCAAGTATAAAGAAGACGATCATTGTTTTATGCGTTTTGAGGAGGGTAACAATGACGCAATCGAACTGGGTTGCTTGTCAGACTTCGATTCCGAAGAAGCAGTTATAGATCTTGTAAAGCAAAAAGCTTTGTACATTTGTGATGGGATGAATTGTAATGGATTTGAACATTTACCCAAAACTTTTGAATGCAGCAATTGTTCGTCCGTGAATGCTGAGGCGTGCGCTACAAATCCAGCGGCAATAACCGCCCCGAAAAAATGTATTACAATGCCCTACACTCAATGCTACCAACGTATAAATGGAATAGCCACGGAGCGCGGATGTCTTTCAGATTTAGTAGGGGATGAATTCTACAACTGCTTAATCGGCTCAGATGACAAATGCCAGATCTGCGAGGGCAACAACTGCAATGAAGAGGTAATAAATGTTTCCTAATTCGTTATAAGGCATAAAACTCATCGCTATGTTCTTACTTTCAGATTATTCCTGAGGATCGTCTGCGTTGCCATCGATGCAACTCGAATTCTGATGCAGCTTGTCACACTTCTCCTGCCACCTCTTCGGTATGTCCCTCGTACAGTGACAATGATGCTTGTGTTGCTAGCTACGAAAATGGCGTAACAAAACGTGGTTGTCGATCAGAGTTCACGTGCGTAGAGGACTCAAAGGGCTGTGAAATATGTGTTGGAAATAATTGTAATACAGCCAATTTAATGAAACGTGTAGAAGAAATATATGGTGTCTTCCAGGACCTACCTCTCAACTGCAACACATGTGTTGGAGACGAGTGCAAAACCGGTGTCCGTAATCCCAGAAAATGTGAAGGTGATCCTTACCAGGACTGTATGACGATTTTTAATATCAAAGGAGAAGTTATTCGTCGTGGCTGTGAAAACCTTGTTTTAGAAGAATACCTTTCGCATTGCAATGATAATCCAGATCTTTGTTTTAATTGCAAATCGAATGGTTGTAACGATATGACAGACCCATTTACTAATCAATTGTGTCTGTACTGCGATGCTTCAAATAACTCCCAATGTTTATTTAATCCCGATGCCGTTACATCTACAAGAAAATGCACCCTCGGTTGTATTTCCTCTCTTTATCCTCGCAAATCCAATCCAAAAGTTTACGATTTTGTACGGACTTGTTTGGAAGACATTGAACCAGACAATAGGGAAAGTTGCACTGAAGAGAATAACTGTCTAGTCTGTTCTGACGAAAAGTGCAATACTGCAATTTTACCAGAGACTGGTCGTCTTTCCTGTAATCACTGCGAAGGTAATAACTGTAATGCCCAAGTGTCAAAACCGTGCGAAGGTTATGCCGCAGACGATCAATGTTACATGTATTTCGATAATGTTACCCACAGTGTTGTCAAAATGGGATGTCGCAGTGAATTAACAATCACTGACATCTTAGCCGATATCAAGCAATACTTTATTTGTGACGGCGATAATTGTAATGAATACGATAAACTTCCTGAAGCCAGATTTTGTTATGCTTGTAATTCGGAAAATGATGTGAGATGTGCTACGGACCCATCCCAAGTAACTACCAAAGATAGGTGCCAGAACTATCCATACACAGAATGCTATACTCGAATACGCGATGGTAAGTACCATTGTAGAAAATATCTAAAATACACTCTAAATGGCTTTAGTTTTACACCACTATGTGAGGAGGGTATTATAAGTTTAAACTGGTACAAAAAATGGGCGTTAGACTTATCTCATACCATACCTAATCGATTCAGGCCGTTTTTAACAATTATTTTCTGGATGTCATATCTTCTAAATTAATCTATTCCATTAACATATTTACCTAATTTTTGGCAGACAGAAGCTTAGAAATTGTATATTGGATTGTCTTAATTACTTTATTATCTTTACAACAATAATGTGACTATATCTCGAAAAATGTAAGAGATGTTATTAAACTCAGTCGTCGAATGCTGGAAAAGTTATGTTTATTACAGGGTATTATTGTGTGTATATCATATTTTAAAAATCATTCTAAAAGTTAAATCAAGTGTACACTGGGATATACGTAGATAAATAATAATTTTGAACTATGAAATTTCATAATATGTGTCACAGTATATCTTCCTCTATCAAAATGTTATACAAAAGTATTTGTATGGGTATATTTTTTAATTTTTTTTGACACGTCCCCAGATATGAGATGAGAAAATCTCACCAAAAGCCTTAAACTAATTACAACATTATTTTCGCTGAATAAAGAGTCCTTTATGTTAGTAGCCAATAGATATTTAACTGTAACCAGTTAAAAGAAAAACTATTGAAATCCCGCCCAAAAGCGAGAGGGTCGGCGTATATACCACAGTCCGGCCGTTGATGGTTAGTAAACATAGTTACTCCTTACATGTGGTATATCAAAATCTTTCTTTGTATGTATTGGTGTTGGATATTGCAAGGTCGGTTCAGCCGCCTATAGCCCTTCTTTATTTGCTTTTTTACAGATGGTCATACTGAACGTGGGTGCATTTACAACTTGCCCACTGAAATATTCGTTGCCTGTAACACTGGCGATCCCGATTCCAATTGCAGAATCTGTGCTGAAAATGAATGCAACAAAAACATATATCCATCCAGCAGACAACAATGCCACCGTTGTAATTCGTTAATCGATGTCAATTGTGAAGGTGAGCCTAATTCCGTTCAACCGTGTCCACTTTTTGTTAAGAATGATGCCTGTGTCACACAATGGGTTGATGGCGTAACACGCCGCGATTGTGCTACAGAACTAAATTGCGATGGACTCAATAGAAAGAACTGTCGACAGTGTTCTGAATTTGGATGCAATGATATAAATTTAGCCAATGAGGACATTGGAAAAGTAGGAGTATTCGCTGACCTCCCGTTAACATGTTATCACTGCAACGGCACCGAAGAATGTCAACAATCCATCGGAAACTTGAACGTTTGCACAAATAACATTCATCAAACATGCACTGTGGTTTTCAACACCGAAGGTAATGTAATTCAACGTGGATGTAGCGACATTGTTGATCATGTTTGTACGGAGGCTGGAAATGTATGTTACGACTGTAAATCTACGGGTTGTAACACTGCAAAGAAAGAACTTGATTATATAAATTGCATTTTTTGTGATAGCCAGAGTGATGTTGAATGTACTTTTAATGCAAATAACATAACACGTACACGGAAATGCCAAGGGGGTTGTATGACAGCACTTTATCCGCGCACCAAAGACGACGTCCCAGTATATGAGCTTATGCGAACTTGCCTGGATGATAAAAATTTAGATGACCGCCTAAGCTGTGAGGCCAAAGAGGATCCCCAATGTAAATCTTGTTCAGAGGAAAACTGCAACAAAGACCAAGTGGGTTTGCATAAGTCTTGCTATCAATGTATAGGAAATGAATGCCAAAATGCTCAAGCTCAGTTATGCCGATCGGTTATGAACAACGATCAGTGCTTCGTGCAGTTCGATGAGAGTGGTTCCGTTATCGAACTAGGCTGTAAGAGCAAATACGATCCTTCAGAAGTAGTGACTCTTGTGACAGCAAAACTTTTATGGTTGTGTGACGATGATAATTGTAACCACATTGATAATTTACCACAGTCGCAGTCCTGTACTTTGTGCAATTCCTTGTCAGATACCGAATGTTCAACCAATCCAGAACATGTTGTGTCGTATACGACATGCAATTCACTGCCTTATTCCCACTGTTACTCCCGCATTTTACAGAGTAAGTTCGTCTACCCATATGACACAATTATTTGTAATATGTTTATTTTTTCTTGCCCTGCAGGCGGTCACACTGAACGTGGATGTCTCTCAAATTTGGAAAACGAAGAGTTTTACAACTGTTTGTACAACAAAAACGATGTGGAATGCCTGTCCTGCGTTGGCGACAAGTGCAATAACATGGTAGAAAAACGTTGCCATATTCCTGATAATTATTTCCTCAAGCCATTAATTTATAACTGTATTTTATTTAGATATATCCCAATGGTCGCACAACTTGCCATATTTGTTCGTCAGCTGACTCCACGACATGTGAAACTATGCCAGACTCGTCGGAAGTGTGTTTGAGATACATTCCAAATGACAGCTGTGTAACCATTATTGATGATAATGGATTCACGGTACGTGGTTGTAGTTCTCAAATTCCATGCGACGAGTCTGATCCGACTAATTGCCAGAAATGTGATGGAAACGATTGTAATACGGTCAACTTAATGCGCAAGTCTGACGCGAAACCTGGAGTATGGCAAAATCTACCACTGACTTGCTTGACATGTTCCAATGTGGACGAATGTAAAACGGGGTATTCTCAAGAGATTTGCAATGGCAAAGAACATTGTATGACGGTTTTCAACAACAACGGTGAAGTTATTAAACGAGGATGTAGCGGCTCTGTTGAAGAAGAACAAGGTCCTTATTGCGACGTCAACCACGAAAACTGCTTTAACTGCAATTCTAATTTATGTAATAACGCCACCTCTCTATTCGAATATAACGATTGCATTTATTGTGATTCAGAAAGCAATAACAAATGCGCCCTCAATCCCGAAGTTGTGGCAAGACGACGAAAATGCAATGGTGCCTGTATGACAGCTTTGTATCCAATTGCAAATAGCTCAGTTTATGGAGTTGTACGATCATGTTTGGACGACAAAGACATATCCGACCAGGATGTTTGCGCATCTGGGTTAGATAGCGAGTGCAAATCTTGTTCTGGCTCCGCTTGCAATGTTGAAATTATTCCCGAGTCTCGACTTTCCTGCTACGCTTGTATTGGTGAGAATTGTGTAGATGCGAATGTCGGTTATTGCCCCAAATATAAACCAAAAGACCAGTGTTTTATTCTCTTTGATGATAAAAGTGACGTCGTACAAATGGGTTGTGTCAGTGATTTAGACGATAGTTTTGTATCAAACAACATTCATCGTTTATATACTTGCAACTCAAATAACTGCAATGGTTACGAAAATATACCCAAAACAACCATGTGTGCCGAATGTAATTCAAATGATGACCCCGATTGTGCTTTAATGCCACAAAATGTGCCATCAATTACTCAATGTACTTCTAGACCAAATACTCAATGCTATACTAAAATTAATAACGATGGTTCAACGGAACGTGGGTGTGTAACCAGTCTTAGCTATTCTGACATGATTAGTTGTCTCAGCGGAAATTACAACAAATGCAGTACCTGTGAGAGTGATCGGTGTAATATACAGGTAATTTTCCAAGGATTTTCTATGTTCCGCTAAATTTAACGCTGTATAGCTAATGTTCTGTCATAAAAAGTGGTATACATCACAATCTTCTATTACCAAAATTTTAAACAATTCCATTCAAAACTGCGACTCAAATTATTAAAATTAGAATAACGGGAGGTAGGAAAAAAGGTACTTTCCACATGGTGGGGGCTATTTAAGGGATTTAACTAGTTTTTTTTTAATATGACAATGGGCACGTGATAAACCCATGGTTCCTTTTAGTGATCTCCATAAAATCGCATTCTGAGCCGCATTAGGCATGTCTATCCATTTATTTTTATAAGCCAAAAATAGTTCATTATGATACTAGATCTCGGAACTGATAATTTTATATTCAAAAGTGTTGCTTTCCAAATTATGGAGGTTATTTAAAGGACTTAACTTGTTTTTTTACGATACGCGATAGTCCCATGGTTCGTTATAGTGATATCCATAAAATCGAATTCTGAGTCGATTTAGGCCATTATTCCATTTAATTTATTTTTATTTATTTCATATTGAAAATCTTGCATATTTTACTTCTTCGTCTCAATGGCTAATCCTATTGAAATTGAAGTTTCATCCGATTTGATATTTAAGGCCCCATGGACACAATATGTATAATATATCCTATCCTTTTTCGAGTCTACCTAGTGTGGACCAAATCGATTCAGATATAGGTAAAGCTCCCATACATGTAACATATTCAATACAGCTTTGCATTTGCGCACAATTGTAGTTTTTCTAGTACCAGGAATTGTATATGTCTTAAAGTTCTACAAGTTATGCTTTGTTGAAGGTTTATTTTATAAAAATTGCTTACAATTGACTATGTCTAGCAAAGCACTGTACGTTGTCAATGCCGTTTTAAACCAAATTTTGTACTTTTTATACCCTAACCCACATAGTGGTAAAGGTATTATATCTTTGTGCATTTGCTTGTAACATGGAGAAGGAAGCGAGATAGACCCATATCGTCATAGAATCACTTTCTGATTCGATTTATGCATGTCAGTCCAACCGACCGTCCATCCATGTATTCTTGTGAACAAATGCACTGCTTAAGTTTGGTGTAAATTGGTTCAGATATATCCATAGCTCCCATATATATGTTTCATCCGATTTGGTGTTTACGTCCCTCACATTCGTAATATGAATTCGATAACAATGTTATTTGGTACAATATATCAGATACAGCCCAGAAATACCTCTGCCAAATTTTATCAAGATCAGTTCAAATTTGGATATAGGTCCCATATATACTTAAATCAATTGTGCACCAAATGGCCAAAATCTGTGTAAAAATCCTGAATTTTAGTACATGCGACTGAATTAAGTCTAGAAGCAAGTGCATCAAATTTGGAGAAAATCGGTTCAGATATAGTTATAGCTTCCATATATATGTTTCATCCTATTTGGCATTTAAGTCCCTCACATTCGTAATATGCATTCGACAACAATGATATTTAATACCAGATATCTTATAGAGCTTGGAAATGCATTCGCCGAATTTTATCGAGATCGGCTAAGATTTTGATATGTCTCCGTCAAATTTAGCGAAAATCGATTCAGAATTGGATATGACTCCCTGAAACCAAACTATAACTGCTCTAAATCCAAATGTTGATAGCTGGTATGATCTACTTTAAATAAATTATTTTGTTACGGGAATTCTACTAAATAGGCATAATGGTGTAGGGTATCGTATAGTCGGCACGACCGACTTTTGACTTTTCCTTACTGGTTAAAATTAATTATATTCAAAGTTATTTGAAATGCCTGCTTGTGAAATAAATCTCCCCAGGACAAAAATATTAGTTTATTTAATTTTACTTTTAGGTATCTTAAAATTAACTAGGATTGCTTACTCTGCTAATCATTTTCGTTAACATATATTTATTGGACTGAACTGGTCAATTAGTAAAAAATTATTTGCAAATCCTACAATATTGAAGCATATATCTCATAGTACTTGTGGTTCATTTAGGTTTTCCCTCCAGACCGTCGTCGTTGCCACCGTTGTAACACCAAAGATGACCCAGAATGTGAAAGTTTGCCGGATTCTGCATCAGTCTGCCCTATTTATGATAGTGATCAATTTTGCACAACAAAATTAGTAAATGGTCATACATACCGGGGTTGCAGCACAGAATTTCAATGTAATGATGACGACAAACAATATTGTCGCCAATGCTTTGAATCGGACAATTGCAACGTGGTTGATTTGGCTAGCAGCAACATCGGATATCCCGGAAAATGGCAAGGTGTCCCAATTAACTGTTATAGCTGTGAAGGTTGGGAATGCCAAACTTTAAGTTTAGGAGTAATTGGAAAGTGCGAAAATAACAACAAACAAAATTGCGCAACTGTATTCGCTGCTAATGGTACAGTGATACAACGCGGTTGCTCCGATGTTATTTACAATAGCGAAAGACTTAGTTACTGCGACAAAAATCCTTCACTGTGCAAGTTCTGCAAATCCAGTGGATGCAATACAGCCATCAGCATCAACGATTATGTCGACTGTATTTTCTGTGACGGCAGCGTAGATTCCGACTGTATTTTCTATCCTGAAACTAAAACACATACTCGTTCTTGTCACAAGAACTGTATGACAGCATTATATCCACGTACCAACGAAGATAACCCAGCGTATGAATTGTCTAGAAGTTGTCTAGATGATCTCGATTTGGATGACCGTGAACAATGTCAGTCGGGCATTAGAGCCAATTGTAAATCTTGCAGCGAAGACAAGTGCAATAACGTTCCAGAGACGCGGCTTAAATGCAACGTATGCCACGGAAATGAATGTGAGGAATACATTTCCGCTCAATGCACATCTTATCGTGAAAACGATAAATGCTTTACGTTGTTCGATGAGGAAAGCAATATACAAGGTATGGGATGCGCTAGCGACTTGGATAACTCATTCATATCGTCGAATCGTCGCAATTTATTATTGTGTGAAGGAGATAATTGTAACGATGTTCTTAACTTACCACAACCTCCATCGTGCAGATGGTGCAGTTCCGACAATGACCCGGACTGTGCCTCAAGTCCTTCAACGACAACAGCCACCGTCTGTCATTTATACCCTAACACAGAATGTTATATGGCTGTTGACGAAGGTAATATTAATAAATTGTGGATATCGCTAATAATAATCTGTTTAACATCTCTTTCGCAGACGGTGTTACACGTCGAGGATGTCTCTCAGATGTGGATGAAGAATTATTTAACGATTGCACCAGTGGCGTCAGCACAAAATGTAAAATTTGCAGTTCAAATGATTGTAACAGCGCAATCTTCCCCGAAGAGCGCCGAAGTTGTATTCAGTGTGACTCCTCACTTTTTTCTGCTTGCGAGGACAACGCCATCCAATTCGCTCAAACATGTGTGCTATACCGGGAGAATGACAGCTGTGTTACTAAACTAGAAGGGGATCGTACTCTACGAGGTTGCGCATCAGATTTCACTTGTGACACTAGCAGTCGGGAAACTTGTCGAATATGTAATGCGACCGATAATTGCAACACAGTTAATTTGTTGGGATTGTCCGTGGGAACACCAGGAAAATGGCAAGGATTGCCACTTAATTGCTATGCCTGCGAAGGGCTGGAATGTGCTGATGGAAATGGTATAATAAACGTATGCGAAGGCAACAATTTACAAACTTGTACCACTGTCTTCGGACTTAATGGCTCCGTAGAAAAGCGTGGATGTAGTGACACAATCAGTATTTCCCACGGTGATTTCTGCGATCAATATCCAGACCGCTGCTTAAACTGTAAATCGAATGGGTGTAACACCGGTAATTCTTTGGATGACTTCACAGATTGTTACTTTTGTGATTCTGCATTAGATGCAAATTGTTCTACAGCATTCGACGAGAAAAAGATTAGGACACGTAAGTGTCACGGCGATTGCATGGTAGCATTGTACCCCCGATCAAGTAGTAGTGATCCTGCTTATGAATTAGCTCGTACATGTTTGGATGATTTGGATTTAGATGATAGAGATGCTTGCTCCAATGATCAAAAACAGTTCTGCAAAGCTTGCAGCGGATCACGATGTAATACAATGAGTTTTCCCGAGGATCGCTTCGAATGCTATACATGTCTCGATAATGATTGCGAAGATATGGACATTAAACAATGTAATGCGTATCACCCTAACGATCAATGCTATATTCTTTTCAACGAAGAAAACTCTATTATTAGCATGGGATGTCGTAGTGAATTTGAAGCGGAAGTTGTGACTGAACTGCTAAAACAAAAGAAAATGTTACTATGCAACGAAAAGGGATGCAACTCCCCACATTCCATTCCTTCGCCTAAGTATTGTTCCGTATGTTCTTCAGAAAATAATTCCCTCTGTGCTACTAATCCCAATTTGGTTGGAAATATGGAACGCTGCTCTTCATTACCATACACCGAATGCGTAACTCGTGTTAATAACTGTAAGTGTAATTGTAATACGTAGTGCTTAAAAAAAGTTAACAAAACAATTTTTAGATGGTCATACCGAACGTGGTTGTTTGGGATCGCTTCAAATGATATATTTTTCGGCTGTCTAATGGGCACTGATAATTTGTGTGAAACTTGTGTGGGAGACAATGCAATGAAATTGATATATATCCCACAAATCGCAGGAAATGTCAACAATGTAGTTCGGCTATAGATCCACTTTGTGCTTCATCCCCGGATAACAATAAAGTTTGTCCTCTATATGACGAAAACGACTCTTGTGTAACGAATTTCCGAAATGGTATTACTACTAGAGGATGCTCATCTACAATGAAATGTGATGATCCCGAGAATAAACGCACATGTCGAACTTGTGACACCGACGGTTGCAATACCGTAAATTTAGAAAGAAACAGTGAGAATGGTGAACCTGGGCGGTGGCAAGACTTGCCAATCACCTGCTACTCCTGCAAAGGAGAAGAGGAATGTTTCAGTAAGGGAGATTTCCGATCATGTTTAAACAATCCCTTCCAAAATTGTATGACAGTATTCAGCAATGATGGCAAAGTCATTCAGAGAGGTTGCAGTGACGTGGTGGAAGAAGATCAGGGATCATATTGCGAAGCCAATCCAGGCAATTGTATGGCTTGTAATTCGAATGGCTGCAACGTTGCTAATAGTTTGGACGAGTACATCGAATGCTTGGTCTGTGATACCGACTCTGGTCCAGACTGTTCTAATAATATCGGTAGTATAGAAAAAACCCGAAAATGCTACAAATATTGTATGTCAGCTCTGTATCCACTATATCAGGAGGCCAATCCATCGTATGGTCTAGTAAGATCTTGCTACGATGATATGGATATTGACGACAGGGATAGTTGTGCAGCTGGCAACAAGGACTACTGTCAAGTATGTGAAACTGAAAAATGCAATACCATCGATATGCCTCAGACGAGATATAGTTGCTACATCTGTGAAGGCGATTCTTGTCAGGATCCTAAAATCCAGCAATGTCCAACATATCGCCCTGATGACAAGTGTTACGTTCTCTTTGACGAAAAACAATCCATTGTTGCTCTAGGTTGTCGCAGTGAATTTAGCAATGAAGATGCAGATAATTTGCTGAAACAAAAGCGTCTTCACATTTGTGAGGGTCCGACTTGTAACCACATCAATAGCTTGCCTACTGCTCATGTTTGTAATCTATGCAACTCGCGTACTGATAAAAACTGCGCTGTCAATCCATCTGAAATTACAGGCTATACGACATGCGCAGCCTTGCCTTTCACGGAATGCTACTCTCGTGTTTTACCAGATGGTGAAACCGAACGCGGTTGCTTGTCTAATTTATATGATGAAGAATTCATGACCTGCTTAGATGGTACATCGAAGGTCTGCGAAAAGTGCATTGGAGATAAATGCAATAGCAAGATCTTCCCCGAAGACCGACTTAAGTGCCACATTTGTGATTCCTCAATTGATCCTAGTTGCGAGAATGCCCCCGATAACCTTGGCTTATGTCCACTACATAATAACGATGACACTTGCGTGACTGTATTCCGCAACGGTTTTACTTATCGCGGATGTAGTTCTTCCTTGGTATGTGACGCAACAAACCCCAGAAAATGTATCAAATGTTCCGGTGAAGGATGTAATACAATAAATTTGGCTAAGAAACAAGACGACAATTATGGAAAGTGGCAAGACCTTCCATTGACTTGCCTTGAATGCACAGGATCAGAATGTAATTCTTCTGAAACCACAAAGTCTCTTTTCTGCGATTTAAATAATGAACAGGACTGTATGACTGTTTTCGATAACAGTGGTAAAGTTGTTCGACGTGGTTGCGCAGATATAGTCGAAAGTGAATACGGAACATACTGTGATGCAAATGAAGACAAATGTTTAAGTTGCAAATCAAATGAATGTAATTCTGCGAAGTCCCAATCAGAATTCACCGAATGTATTTATTGCGACTCTAACAAAAATCTCGATTGCATATTTAAACCCTTAAGCCCAGACCATAAAGTTAGAAAATGCCAAGATGGCTGCATGACAGCCCTGTATCCTTCGGATAGTTCTCATAACCCATCTTACGATTTAATACGGACGTGTTTGAACGACAAAGAACTTTCCGATCAACTTGAATGCTCATCTGGCAACGATGCAACATGCAAAGCTTGTACTGGGGAAAAATGCAATGTGGACAATGTTCCAGAAAAACGTTTTACATGTTACACTTGCGAGGGAGAGAACTGCGTGGAACCAGTTATTCAATTATGTCCACTATACAAAGAATTTGATCAATGCTTTATTAAATTTGACAACACAAACAGCATATCTGAAATGGGATGCGTGAGCTCATTCCGCAACCAGCCGTTGGAAAATATAATTAAAACTAAACGAGTTTCCGTGTGCAATGGCCCCAATTGCAATTCACTCGACACTATTTCGAAAGCACAAAAATGTGCTATATGCGATTCAGGTGAAGACATATCCTGTGCTGTCAACCCAGTAGAAATTGCATCCTTCAAGTCATGCAACATGCTGCCCTATACTGGATGTTTCTCGATATTAACTGAAAGTAAGTATGGTGGTGGGTTACCTTTATGTACGCATTGATTTTATTATCTTTTAAAAACGCAGGTGGCCACACGGAGAGAGGTTGTTTGGCGGATTTACCAGATGATGAGTTTACTGCTTGTGTTTTAGGTAACGATGAAAACTGCGGAGTTTGCAGTGGGGATGGGTGTAATCGAGATGTAAGTGTACGTTTAAACAAAAAGTCACCGTTTATTAATAATATTTTGTACCTAAAGATATTCCCCGTCAATCGTCAACAATGCTTCACGTGCACATCAGAGGAAGAATCCAATTGTGAATCATTCCCAACGTCAAAATCACCTTGTCCAATAGTGAGTGAGTCCGAATCCTGCATAACAGCTCTAAAGGGAAATGTAACAGTTCGTGGTTGCAGTAGTAATCTCTATTGTGACTCGGGAGATAGTTCCACCTGTCGATCATGCTTCAGCTCTGAATGTAATTCAATTGATTTAGTTAACCAAGTGGACGACGGCTACCATGGCGTTTGGCAATCTCTCCCTCTTCGCTGTTTTACATGTGAAGGGCAACAATGTCTTAATTCTCTTGGTTCAACGAAAACGTGCTCCAGTCGAAATTATAATCAAGACTGTATGACTGTTTTCAAATCCAATGGGGAAGTTGATCGACGTGGATGTTCGGATGATGTTGAAGATTACAGAGACTTATACTGTCGTCAGAATCCAGATTTATGTTTCAAGTGCAAGTCGAACGAGTGCAATGTGGCATGGAGTATAGAAGATTATGTTGAATGTGCATTCTGCGATTCCTTCAAAGATTCGCTCTGCACAATAAATCCAAGTGGTTCTGGTTTTGCTTCAAGAATATGTTACAAAAAGTGTATGGTTGCAATGCTAGATCAACGTGTTATACGCTCATGCTTAGATGATAAAGAATTGAGGGTTCAAAACGAATGCAATGAATCCGAAAACAGTGAGTGCGTCAGTTGCTCAAATGCCAATTGCAACAAATTTGTGTTCCCTCTTGATCGCTTGAAGTGTCACACATGCACCGGAACTTCATGCACCAGTAGTACAGGACAATATTGTGAAATTTATAGCAAACAGGACTACTGTTTTGCTAAATATGAAAGCGGCAAGGTTGATTTGCTAGGCTGCGCCTCTGCACAAAATGCGAGTGATTTGGCACAATGGGAGGCTCAAAACAAACTGCATAAATGCGAAGGTCTAGAATGTAATGAATTATCACGTTTACCCACTGAAAGTGAGTGTCTTGTCTGCGACTCCAGCAAGACTCCAAGCTGCAGTCAGAACCCTACACACATAAATACCACTCAAACTTGCTTGGCACCAAAAAGCCAGTGCATGACTCACATCAATTCTGATGGGCATACTATCAGAGGTTGTCTCAGCAGTTTAAGCGAAGATGAACAGTCATGCGTGGCTGCTGGTACGTGTGTAGTCTGCTCTGGCTCCAAATGTAACAATGAGGTAATAACATTCTTAAAATACACTTTCCAATTCATTCTCATAAATTGCAATTTCTTTACATAGATTTTCCCAACCAATAGACGATCCTGTCATATCTGCAATTCAGTCGCTGACAAGGATTGTATTTCCAATCCAAATAATCCTCTTATATGTCCTATCTATGTAGTAAACGATAGTTGTGTATCGACGCTCTCGGATGATGGCATAGTCACTCGTGGCTGCGCATCTCAAGTTACATGTGAAAAAGATGATAGTGACTACTGTGAATCTTGCAATTCTAACAATTGTAATACTGGAGAATTAAAGGGTTCGGGATCGCTGGTCACTCAAAGCTTACCTCTAACGCTGCTCTTAGCAGTTGTGTCTTTAATAGTGAACAGGAAATAACTAAACGCGTATTGATGCAAAATCGATACTAAATTTAAATATTAAATCTTAAGTGTTAATTCCAGAGTTTTGAAAATGTTTTACTCATGTTTTTACAACTTTTCTACCATAACAAATATAATATTTTAATTCGAAACGAAAGTAAAATTTTAAAAGTTTGCACGAACTTTAATAACGAATCCTACTAAAAAGTCAATAAATCTGAAGTTATGCCTATATAATTCATTCGGTATAAACCATAAAAGCACGCATAGGAATATATACCTGATAAATACATTTGGAAGTGGTTACACGTAGGTAATTATTTCACTGGTTCTTTTGCACGAGTTCAAATAAATCTTGAAACAACCTTTTTCATAACATTTGAACATGTTAAGATGAAGTATTATAAAAAATGCGATGCTCTTCTCCACACTTGGAAGAGTTTAAATGGAAACATGACTTATCCGATAGTTTCGAACATCTTTATTTGTTCTCAGAATTACGAACACAAATCAACCCGATCACACAGCTTTATTCATGATACATTTATACTTTTTTTTATTTTTGAATAGATTTGAACCAAATCACATTACTGTGTATTGATATAAGCAAAAGAACTAATTGCATTTCCTTTATTTAATTTGGCTTTATAAATTGTATACTATTCATTAATGTTTTCTGCTTTATCTGAAAATTTTAACATTATCAACACAGTTGAATATTTTCTATATCTCCACCATATAAATTGGTCATTCAGTTTGAAACACCTCTAAATATTCATCGTAGAGCTCACCAAGTATATATATTCATAACCAGTTTGAATTTTTAGTCGACTTAAAGATGTCCATCTGTCTGTTAAAATCACGATAGGTCGGTTAGTATGGAAAATGAGGTTTATCGATCCATTTTTTCGAATAGCTCATTTTTTTACAATTTGATGTTAAGAGTTCGTAACGAGGTCTACCGCGGATGGTATTTTTGGATATTCGGTATGTTAACGATTTCCTAGCGGATTTATGGTAGTTCGGACCCATTTGTGACACTGAATTTAAAAATGCTTTCTGGCTGTATAGAAGCGTAATTAAACCTATTGTATCATAAGCGTCAGTAGTCTGGTTGACAGCAATAGATAAAAAATTCAATGTCAAAATCTTGCAGAAAGTTTAAAGAATGTGTTGCCTTTCCTATATATACACCCAAGGTGTATTTATAAGGAGTATACACCAGCTACAACAACTGACATTTTATAATAACAACGTTGTTGTTATAGAAACTATAAAGACATTCTGACAATTGAATTTCACAAAAAAAAAACAAACTGTAATAATAAAAGCATTTGCTTTCTTTAAAAATATTTCTTTAATATAAACGCTGCAAATTCTTGTTAGAATATTACTCTAGAAGCAAACGTTACCTGCGAAACATTTGTAGTATCGGTCAATTAATTAGAATACTTCGATATAAAGGCAGTCGCCAAAATGGGCATATTGAAGAAAGTAACTACTAATTTCACACGTAGATTTTGTGTTTATTGAAATATTTCGTTAAGAAATATTAGATTACAGAAAGGTCTTAATTCTTATTTTTTGCGTATGTCAGTTTGATTCAGTTTATTGACATTTTAAAACCGTTTCAAGTATCCTTTTTTAGTATTTTATTTAATAGTTTTATTATATGCCAGCATATAACAGCATATACAATTATTGTTTATTTTAAGCAGGCCAATAACCTAAATAAAAAAGAAATGTTTGGTTTCACATTGCATACATTATTGGCTCAAGTAAATTATGCTTACTTTACATTTAATGCTAGTTTTAGTGACATCCAAAATGTGTAAATAGCAAGCAAAAATAATATTCTTTGTAGATTGCAAGAACTTGTAAACATACACAATTCAAGTGTTGTGTATATCTACCTTTCTTTACATTAATAAACATTTATTTTAGTGACCCCGACGTAATCCTGGCCAGAATCAATCAAACTTCCCCACCAGTGGTAAGGTATTTGACACTTTTACTGGTGAAAGGAGGAAACTACTTTCGCAAAAAAAGCAGCAAATTTCAAGAGCCAGAATAATCTGGAACATGATCAACGAGCAGATCTTGCCACAATAGCAAAAAATGTGGTATCTCAAGTCCAACGTGACTGGGGAAGCCGAGAAGTTCATGAGGCACCTCGAGTTAACTGAGGCGAATTACGACAGTGTTCATGAATCGTTATTGGCACTGGGGGTCCTGGAATAAAACCGAAAGAATAGGATTCACCCTTAACCCACATCCTAACAAAGAGGATGGACAAGACTATGAGCAGTCGATTGTGGATATCAAAGAACTCCAACGATATACCAGCAGCTTCGGTTGATTCAACAACGAACCGTATGTGCAACGGTAATCACCCCCTATATTATTGCAAGCAGTCCTTGGCAATGACAGAGTCCGAAAGACAGAAATGGGTTTCTAGAAAAAAGATGTGTTTGAATTGCTTTAAGGATAAAGCAAAACATGTACAAATGGGATGTGCAGAAAGTATCAACAAAAACACAATACACTTTTTTATATTTCCACGAGGTCACAAGCTGAAAACCAGTCAGCAGTAGTGTCAGCTAAGAGACCCCTAATAGTGGCATCGGCGAATTGACATACTGCTACCGCACGGGTGCTTTCAAGGCCAATAATGGAAGAACCTATGAGTTCAAGGCAATTCTGGATTCCGACTCACAGATTTATCTTGTGTCAGAACGACTTGTGCAGAGGTTGGGTATCGAACCCATTCAAGTATCTTCCTGTATCGATGGCGTTGGCGGAAGATCAAGAACAAACAATAGAGTCAGCGTGGAACTTCAGTCGCTGACAAGCAAATTCAGAACACGTCTAGAAGCTTTTGTGTTACCAAAAATAGTGTCACCGCAAATAAGCACTGGCATCGACATTACATTATGACCAATTCCTGAAAACATCAAGCTAGCAGATCCCCGCTTTAATCAAACGACAAGAATTGACGTACTACTTGGAGCAGAGTCCTGCTTTAATCTTATTCCATCACAAGAAATTCGAATATGCAAAGAGCTTCCTATATTGAAGATTTCTTAGCTAGGGTGGATCAGAAGTTGACAATAGCTGAAGAACAGTGTGAAAATCGTTTCAACCAAAATACAACAGTGAATGAGTATGGTCGTTTGTGGTGCGATTACCGTTTTCAGACGGTCCTGAGAAGATATCTGTTTCGTATTTCACTTTTTTTTATTTTTTCTTTAATTAAAGATGTTGTTTTTATTTATGTTTTTTCGTATTGTTTTATTTCTATTTTTAAAAATCAATTTGTTTCGTTCACAATTTTTGTTTAGTTTTAGGTTTTTTTTTTTGTTCAATTAATTTTTACTTTTTTTGTACAATGTTTTATGTTTTTTGTATGATGTTTTTTTTGACACTTTGTTTTTTTTTTCTCTGTTTTTGGGCACTGTTCACTCGGGGGGGAAACTTGCGTACGCGCTTTTAAATTCGAGACTGAACTGTTCTAACTCCAATTTGCATCGTCACAGCAACCTGTTTGGCTGGTGACGATGCTTATTTATTTGAATTCAGCATTGGACCCTGCAGAAAACAGTGGAGGTATTGATGAACTGCGAGTGGTGCTACACTTATGTAAAAGTCAGTAGTATCAATGGTTGTAGGCGGCGAGTACTGCTTGACTACTCGCAAGTGCTGCACAGTTTTTTTATAATCGCATATATTGGTAACACTGTCAGCATCTGATTATGCTTATTTGTGATTTGTGTTTTGTGCATTGTGTGGACTTGCAAGTAAAATATTTGTTTTAAGTGAAAAAGAAAAGAAAGTGTATGTAAAAAATTAAAAAGCGTACCTTTGAACGCAGAGTATTAAAATAAAAAGCTATTTATGAACAAATACTATTTAATGTGGAAAAAGTAGAAGAGTGGAAAAAAATATTTGTGAAAGCAGCGTCACCTGCGAAAATAATACAGCAGAAGATTTTTTAAATATTGTGCAAACTTCCAAGTTTACAGATAAACTTAAAATGTGGTACATCGATACCAAACCACTAAAAATTGTGTTGAAAAACTGTTGACAATTCTAAAAGAAGAAGGACTTGACGTACCTCTAAGTTAGAAACGTTACTGGGAAGACAAAAAAGGGCGCTAACAAAATACGTGTCTCCTGCCTTTTTTTGAAATTATATATTTTACTTAAATTCTATTTTGTAATTTAATATTGTTTTGAAATAAAATAGCTGAATGAAAACAAATCTGTCTTTCGTTCTTTTAATTATTCGCAATGGCAATGCGAATAATTACGTTCGTGCAGTATGTTCAGTTACTTTTTTCAATGGCGACTGATGCAAAATTCAGCAGTCGCTCACCCCTCACAAAGCGCTGCAAACGCGAGTACTGATTTTCACACGACAGTCCAGTGTAAAAGTCAGCAGCTCTTACCGTTAACGGGGAAATGAAGAGCGAGTGGTCGGTATCGCTTGGCGAGTACTCGAGCAGCACTGCGGTACTACTCTTTTTTTCTAAAGGGAATTTACCAGTGGCTGCATATATGTGCATGTGTGTGTGCATATGTGTCTAATATGTACATCATTTTTTATGATGTTATTTATGCAGCCACCGGTAATGTAACCAAACAACACTGTTGCGCAAAAATATAGCATCTTTTATGAACAATATCCGAATCCTTAAATTTTTGCAGCCTCCAGATTCTTTGCATTGGAGCGTCGCTTATCTAAGAATGCAAGTCTTCATATGCTCAATTTATGAAGGAGTACGACGATCTTGGACATATGACGAAAATACAACCAAGAGAGGTGCGTGGTGATCATTACTACATCCAGAACACAAATAGCAGAACAACAAAGCTTAGGTTTGTGTCGACGCGTCTTGCAAGTCATTACATGGGTGGTCACTCAATGATATTTGCAATTAGGTCCCAGAATTCAAGGAGATCTGTTTGCAATGTTGTTGCGTTTTAGACTACCTACAAAAGGATCGCAAATATCAGCTAATCGTATGAGAAACACCCATACAAGAACTCGAATATAACATGTTGAATATGTTAACATATGGTACGACGTTCGCCCCACATCTTGCTGCAGGATGTCTGAAAAGAATAGCCGATACGAACATACACAAAAATCCATTGGGTCGCTGGTAAATGTAAATAAACGCTTAATTTACTTCAGCCAATAACCCATGCAATGTGAAACCAATCGAGGTGTTTCTTTGTTTAGGTTATTGACCTGCTTAAA